GTAGCTGTGAGATGGGCTTCCCTTGTCTTCTGCAGAGGAGCTGAAGACACCCAGGGAGAAGGAGCGAGAGAAGGAGCTGCTGGAGTCGTACCTGAACACAGTCAATGATCGGAATAATATTGTGGAGTGCCTGGATGAGGACAGACTCAGGTGAGGGCCCTCAGATGGCAGGAGAAGAGCCAACACCAGGGGTGATTTCTATTGTACTTCCTCTGCTGCCCAGGCTGTAGGGGTGGGTGAATGGCTGTAATCCAGACTTCTGCTCCATGAGAGGTGAGCGGTGACCTGTCACCAGCCATCTTGTCCTAAACGCTGCTGCCGTTGCTTCCTTGGCAGCTGTTAGAAGCTGAGATCAGGACTGCAGCCATGTTCAGGGCTCTCTCAAGCTAATGCTGCTGTGAGGACAAGGGCTGTGAAAATGTAGAAGGGGGGGTGAAGGGAAGGAGAGGCTGGAGATGGAGAGGATGGAGGCAGCACGGGAGGTGCAGGAGTACTCTGGGAACATGAAACCAGGAACGTGTTCATCTGCTGCAGCAAGTGAAAGAACAACTGTAGCCGAGTGTTGGATCCTCCCCAAGTTCAAAGGAAGACTGTTGTGTCAAGTAGCTGGATTCGTGCCTCCTGTTGCTGAGAGCGGCCTCCGTTTCTCGATCTCAGGGCACCGACTCCAGCTCAAGGATTCTAGTAATGCCCAGGCTTTTGGCTCTGGCCTTGCCCAGGGCCAAGGAGATAGCAGCAGTGTTTGTCCCTGATTGCGATGAGCACCTCTGTAGCACCCCAAGCTTCTGGTCTCTCAACCTTTATTCATCTCCTGGGGTGTGGTGGTTTCTCACGACTATGTGAACTCAGATGAGTCATAGGCCAGCTGGGGGAAGGGCCTCCCTGCAGTGCTGGGCTGCCATGATTTGGAAATCCCCACACAGGCCCTTGCTTTCAAGGGAACCAGATGCAATTTGCTCATGTCTAGCACTCCTCCAACTCTTTTTTTTCTTTTCTCTTTTCTTTTCTTTTCTTTTCTTTTCTTTTCTTTTCTTTTCTTTTCTTTTCTTTTCTTTTCTTTTCTGCACACTTCTCAGGGTGTGCTGTGGAGGCTGGTCATTTCTGACTGGGGGAATAACAGTAGTATTTGCATTGGTTTTGGTGTCTACCACCTTGTCATGAAACACAGCAAAGTTTTCTAATGCCATGCTGTTCCATTACAGAGAGCAAGAGGAGGACCAGATGTTGGCAGACATGATCCAGAGGTTGGGTAAGGGCCCTTCTACTCTTACAGAGCAGCACTGGTGGCACTGGGGCTGTGGGTCTCAACCTGCTCTGTGTCTGCTCCCTCTCCTGCAGATGGATCTCTTGAGAGCCAGGAGCCAGAGAAGAAGAAGAACAAGTTCCATTTGTCCAAAATATGGAAGCAGAAAAATAAGAGTAAAGCTCAGGAGTGATGTTGCCCTGCCCAGCAGCCCAGAGAGGGGTGTCAAAGGGATATTCCTTCCTCACTGCTGCTTTCCTGGGGTTGTGCAGAACTGTGATGAGACTCTACTGCTCCCTCACATGGAGACTGCAGGTTTGTGGACCAGAGGGACAGTATGAATCCCCTCTGCCCTTGTCATGGGACCCAAGGACACCTTTCCCAGAGGATTGACTTTTAAGTCTGTTTTCCTTCTTTGGATCTAGCTCAGAGCTGGCTTCAGCCTTGTTGGCAGCTCAGGAGGGAAGAGCTCAGTTTGCCCACCCGCTCCTCCTTGGGTCATTGTAGTCCTGAATGCAGGAGCATGGCACTGCATGTCACGCCACAGTGCCCCACTCGTGTCAGCCAGGGCTGTGCTACGGACACTGTGCTGGTCTGCGAAAGGGCAGCTCTCCCTCCCTCCCTGTGTTTGCTGTGGCTCTCTGAGACACAGAGAGGGAGTTGCTATGGGGTGCGGGAAATCCAGGGCCTCCTCCTTACTGTGCCAGTGCAAACTGGAGCTGTAGGCTCTACAGCCAGCGAGCAGAACCACCCCTGTATCTATGGGGTGGGGTGTCCTACACCCAAAGCAGTTTCAGCAATAGTGCTCTGTTTCCAGACCTCCTTTTGGGAGTTGCTGTAGGCTGTTTTCTCAAAGCCATGAGGGGTTGCTCACTGCTTCATTCCCTCTGTGGGGGAGATTTGTACCTTCCTTATGTCTCTGACTGCACAGTGAAGCAGAGTTTTCGTTGTGGCCCATTCTGCTGAAAATGAGCAGAAGTTTTCTTTTAACAACCTGGTGCTAACTGGGAGCAGAGGGAATTAATGGGTTTGCTTCACCCATGAGGCTTCTGCATGGAACCAACATTTCAATTCCTGAGGCTCTGTCCCTGGACAGCCAGCACCCTCAAGGGTGCTGTTGGCAGTGAGTCTTTCCCTCAGTCCTGTGACCGCAGCCAGACACCTGCCCTGTGTGGCAGCATACTGTCTTCCCCATCAGCCTGGGGAGCAGGGATGGAGACAGGCAAGGAAAGATCAGATTAATTCCTGATGCCTCCAGCTCTGGTACGTGTGGACTTCCCTGCTCCCTCCAAGCCAGGTCCTTCGAGATTTCTCTGGGTTCTGTTCTCCCGTAGGGCCTGGGATTTTGCAGGGAGCAGGTTTGCTGCCCGCTGTGCCCGGTGGCAAAGCAGAGGCGATGCGTCCCTTACCCACGAGGTGGCAGTGGGACTCTCTGTCCCGGGCAGCCCGCCCTGGGCACCGCAGGGGTGTGCTCAGGGAGGTACCCAGTGCCCGAGGGGCTTCTGGTGCCCACGGTGTGTGCCATGTGTGTACATGTGGTGGGTCACCCTGTACTTGCATATGCTTTTGTCCAATAAAGAATTGCTGGAGCAAATCCCAAAGTCCCAGCAGGAGTTTGGATGTAGGTTACCGGGTGTGGGCTGTCCTGGTTGCTGTGAGCCGTGACAGTTCCTCTCTGGAGATGAAAGTGCCCAGAGCCGTGGGTGCTAGCAGGAGTTTGGTGTACCTGTGGTGGAGAGGCTCCTCTGCCCAGAGCTTGCAAACCAGCTGCGGGTCCTGGGAGAGCCGCAGAGCCCGGGGAGCGGTGCTGACCACCGGTGCTGGTGTGCTGTGCCTTGCATCCCCAATCTCCTTGTTGGGAAGCAATTCTTTTCCTGGGGCTGTGTGTAAGGATGAGGGGAGGGAGGAGGGCCCCACTTCCAGACCTGGGCATGAGCACCAAATCCCTAGAATGAAACCTGCCTGCATGGACTGCCAGCTGAGAGGGAGGGAGCTGAAACCACCTCTGCTGAAGGAGAGAAATACCCTTCCTAATGAGTGGGACCCCCTCCTACAGCTGTCCCAGGCTGTTGTTGCTGCTGGGCTTTTACTTTCTCAGGCTTAGATTCTCCAGCCTTGAGAAGTTTAGTCTGTAGGGATTTGGGGGTGGCAGCGTCGTCCAAACTCATCCAGTCCTTCCCTCTGCGGGAGACACGGGGCAGTTTCACCTTCGCCCAACTTGAACTACAGCCCCTGGGGCCCTGCCTTGGCAATGAGTGCATGGTTTGACCTGCTGTAGGGATTGCTTCATGAGAAGGCCAACTGCTGCCATGCCTGCTCACTACGTGCTTACCTGCCTCCAAGAGGAGATTTTGAAGGGAAAACTCTGCTGCTTCTGCCATCTGGAGTCTGTTGGAGATGGTAACAGTAGTCTAGGGGATATGAGGCTCACTTGGAAATGCCTTGTGAATCTAGAAGGTTTAAGTGGTCTCTAGGTAGAGAAGTACTGAGAACAGGAGTGGACACAGGGCCCCAGCCTTCCTCGCCGTGCCAGCGGGAGGTTATGGGCTGGTGTGAGGCTGACTTCAAGCTGACCTCAATTATTTGTACACCAAAGATGAGCAGATAAGTAGTGTAGTAGTGATCGAAACAGATCCTGCCCAGAGACCCAAACTCTTCTCTGTACTGATGGAGCACTGTCTGGTCGTGGCCAGGGGTCTACCGGCACCCAGCCCCATACAGCCTGCCCAGGCCCCCCGCTCCTGCACACCCAGACAGCCGCTGGTTGTGAACATGAGGACAACTCAGCTTGTTCCTCCTTCCTCTACCTTGAATTTGGGACTCAAAGGATTTGCATTTCCACCACTCTCCTAATCCAAGGCTTGAAACGAGCCCTAGACGAACTAAGCTGTTGGATAAGGTGGAGAAAGGGAACGGCTTTTTTCCAGCTGGCTGCTTTCGGCTGAGCCGATTCCCCTGCCTGACCCCCGTTTGCTCTCCCAGCACAAGCAGCTTTGCTCACCCCGTGGAAGTGCTCCAGGAAGCAAAGCAGGAGGATTTGGCCTTGGGACTGAGCAGGGAGGGAGGTGTTGGGAAATCAGCTCTCGGCTGCTTCTCCATAACAGTCACCCCCTGAGTAATTAGGCAATCCAGGCACCCTCCTGTAACCGAACAGGAATTAAATTCCTCTCTGTTCTCTGCGGGAAGGGACTGTTCGTGCTCTGCTCCAGCCCCATCAGACACCGAGCCCCGAGGTCAAGGCTTGCAGGGGGTTGACTGATACGTTGGTGTGTGCATGTGGGTGTCTGCATTTCGGTGATGACTGAAAGCTTAATAGCTCTTCTAGGTCAGCTGCTCCGCTTCCAAAATGGTTTTAAGGGGGGGTGAGCTTCCTGCTCATTTCCTGATGGCCTTTGGTCAGGTTCGTGGCCTCACCAGCTCCTGGATACCCAGAGTGCTGCTGCTTTCTTTGTAGCTGAAGAGGAGCGCGGGGGACTGTACAGGGCCTGGGGGCTGCACCCCTCAGCCTCTGCCATTTGGGAGGCTCTTGGGGGTCCTTCTGCAGGCTTGGGGTGATGGGCAGGCTGCTGTATGCTCCAGCACTTCCAGACTTGCAGATGAAGCTGTGATTAGGCCATGTGTGTCTATGTCTCTCTCTCTTCTGCTGTTTTCTTTAATTACAATCTCGGAGGTAATTTCTGACGCATCATTAACAGTTCTGAGTAAACAAGGGGAATTCTCCAAATTATTCGCCATGAGCACAAAGGGAAATTGGCTTTCATCGTCTCGCTCTTCATCCAAGGAAGAAACTGATCCGCAGTAGGCACAGGGAGGAAGCGAGCATCGTGGCTGCCCTCGGATGCCTCGAGTCGACTTGAGGCGGAGCAGCAACCCATCCAGTTTATCCAGCTGACTGAGAGGCCCGCACTGCCTGCAGCTTTTTGTCCCTACTGCTGAGCCACATGGCCAGGGCTCGTTGCGGTTGGGACTGTAAATGCAAAGTGCCTCTTGCCTATGAGAGCATTGGGTGCCACTTTTGACTGTTCACCTCGCGTTTCCAGCTGGATGAATCTGTACCCAAGCTGCTCAGGAGATAGGACAGATCAAGAGCATCCTCAAGGCTTTGTCTCAGCATGAAGGTGACACCCTGGTCCTTGGTTGTTGGGCTGAACGGTAATGCCCGAGGCCGGTGTGGGGTTGGGAAGGGAAGGATGGAGCACTGCTATGGAGGGACGTGGGGCCTGGGGAGCTAGGTTTGGTCCAAAGCAAGAACTCAGAGGGATGCTGGTGTGCCCTGTGAGAGCAGCAAATGTGCCTGGCAGCTGGGGTGGGAGGAGGTGGCTGGAGAGGACCTCTTTGCTGGGAGTCCATGGGAGGTCATTTCAGCCTAGTGCAGAGCTGGAGGGAAAGGGGCTTCGTTAGAGGGGTGGCCCGTGGAGCTCAGACGAGGCAGCTGCACCCGTTGGGGCACCCACACCCCTCCCCACCTCGTGCACCATGCTGAGAGCCCCCTCACCCATGCTCCGGCACAGTGGCAAAGCGTCTGTGGCAGCAACCAAGGGAGCGAAGGTTATTTATATTCATGTTGCAGCTCTGCCAGCCGTGACTCTGTTATCTGCCATGCATGAATACTATTTGAATACAGAGTTTGTCGTGACTATTCTTCCGCGTGAAACAAGGGATTTGCTGTGGGATGGGAACCCTCCCTCCGGCTGTCAGTCAGGAAGGGTTTCCTTTTCCTGTCTCGTTGGAAGCCACGTCCCCAGCAAGGTGAGACAGTGGACACTTTTTCTCTTGTTAATATCCATGTCTAATCTCCTCTCAGAGGGGCCCTTTGTCCTAGACTGTAGCCAAGATGAGTAATTCAGGGATAGATGAGACGCTATAATTGGTTTGTGACAAATTAAAACATTTTTCCTTCGGAGCTGAGAGCAGGACTGTGGTCTGGAGCTGTCAAGCGTCACAGGGGAGGGCGATTTTCGGAATAAGCGCATTGCAAATTGGCTCCAGATACGCCTTGGAGTCTGAAATTAAACTCCAGCTGGTGACTCTTCTTGGTTGGGGTTTTATTTTAGGAGGGCACAAAGGGAACATGTGTGGGGAGGAAGAACCTGATCGATAAAGAGAACGTGACTTTTTTTTGCATCATGCAATGAGCTGGGGACTGGAGTGAGCCATGGTGGAGATGCTGGGGAGCACCCAGAGGCGTGATGG